ATAACCCAAGGAGGGCCAAAGCTGGCTAGCAAGCAGGGAATTCAAACCTTCATGCTGGAAATCTGAAAATGGCTGGAATCGGACAATGCAGTGATAAAGGAGGAGGTCCAGGCAGTGACTGACAGGGTCCGTGCCTCCGAGGAGGACATTCTGGACATACGCAAGGACATGTCCGCAAAGCAAGACACCATAAGGCAAGTCCAAACTTCCCAACAGGCACTCAGCACACAAATGACTGCCATGGAAGACCGCAACAGCAGACGACAACATATTAAGATTTGTGGCATACCTGATAATATCTCCCTGGAAGAATTACCACATTACCTAAGACGGCTGCTTGCGGCTATACTACCTCAGCCACTGGCAAGAAAGATAGCCCTTGATGTGGCATACCGCCTCCCAAAGTCCCCTAATGCACCCCCTAACGTGACAAGGGACGTAGTGGTGCGTTGTTCCTCCTTTCAAGATAAGGGACATATCATGACAGCAATTCGAGACAAGACCCCATACTCATTTGAGAACTCTCAACTCACATTCTATCACGAACTTACTAGGTCCACGCTCCAATGGCGCAGATCCCTCAAGTCAGTGACAAACCAGCTGAAAGACTCTGGAGTGGCCTACAACTGGGGCTCCCCAAGGTCCCTCATAGTGACACACCAAGGAACAGTCCACCGGCTCTCCAACATCACCAAGGCTCCCGCTTTCTTACAAGCTTAGGGACTGCCTGCATTGCCCCCAGAGACAACACGCACGACCCCAACCTGGGACCCAAGCCATGTGATTCCCTTTGTCCCGCGAGGCCAAACGGAGGCTCGCCCAGATACCTAACTCCAGACAGACCTGAAAATGCCGTTAATATCCTTACTGTTATAATGTATACAAGTTTAACACTGTTCAGCACATGGGGAGACTCCAGGGAACAAACAAATCGTGTATTTTAACTATTACAGTTCCTGTTGGAGACACAAAACCTCTCCTCAAACCCTCACCATAAGGAAGACGACATATTCTTCACACAAACACACCTACTTTATGAGGCATTCAGTACTTAACCATTTAATTGTGAAAACCTAGCCTGTTGAAAAGCATACTACACGTTAATTGTGTTGATAACATGCAAACATAACTCATTTCACTTGAATTACCAAACACACCTAACGAGCTCTCTCCATAATCTACAAGTGAACTACGGATCAGCCTGTTTATTTTTGTTATATAAAAAATGTGTGTGACTATCTCATGCTATGACACTGTATATTCCTGTACCTAAATGCATTGCTTGTCAACACTGTCGGGGTGCTACAAGCATATTGTTTTCTTCTTTGCACAATAAAAATAAAGAATAAAACAAAAAACAAGCCTTTACTGATTTGTATTCCAAACACTTAAGTGTAAAACTTGGATTCTAATATATAATGTAATAAATTACCACTAGAGGTCAGTCCTGCTTAAAGGGACACTATAGGCACCCAGACCACTTCATTTCATTGAAGTGGTCTGGATGCAGTATGCCTGTCTTTAACCCTGCAATATAAAACATTTACAATGAGTGTAAAGTCCACTTCTAGTGACTGTCTTCCAGTCCCTAGAGGCGATTCCTGGTCCCATATTGAGGGTGTTTTTTTTTTTATTCAAAGGAAATCATTGATTCAAAGCTTTAATGCGTGTGCAGCGAACGCCACACATGCGTCTTAGGTTCCCCCATCTTTGTGATGTCGCTGGAAAAGGAGTCCTCATAAAAAAAGGTAAGTAAAAAAGATTTTTTTATCCCTTTAGTCTTTGGATGTTGGGGGCAGGGCCTAATAAGATAGGGACAGGGACTCTATAGCGTTAGGAATACAGGTCTCCCGTTTCAGACACGATAACGTCGGATGTTCTGACGTGGAACGCTCTTCCCCGGTTTCCATTTGTGCAAATTGTTCCCTGTAACTTGTGTGGGCATAGAGTACCGGCAAGATGGGTCGAGTATGTTTTGGCGTCACACGTGATGCATTCCAATTGGAGGCCTCTATTAAACCCTTGTGAGGGGTGACAGTGTGTGAAGAGAGGGATGACAGTGTCTAAAGAGGGCGGTAGGTGACAGTGTGTATAGAGGGGGGGTGACAGTCTGTATAGAGGGGGTGACAGTCTGTATAAAGGGGCGTGAGTGTGTGAAGAGTGGGTTAACAGTGTGTATAGAGGAGGGGTAACAGTGTGTATAGAAGGGGGTAAGTGACTGTGTGTATAGAGTGTGGTGACAGTCTGTATAGAGGGGGTGGGTGACTGTGTATAAAGGGGCGTATGTGAAGAGGGGCTTGCCAGTGTGTATAGAGTGAGGTGGGTGACGGTGTGTATAGAGGAGGGTGGGAGACGGTGTGTATAGAGAGGGGTGGGTGACAGTATGTATAGAGAGGGGTGAGTGACAGTGTATATAGAGTGGGTGTACTGTTAGTGTGTGGGGAGGCTGTGCTATAGTGACCAGCCTCCCCACACTAAAATACCTTTTTTACCATAATCAATCAATTCCCTGGTAGTCCGGTGTGCAGGCTGGGTGCAGGGCTGTGGACCAAGTGACAGGAATCTTGCGAGCTTGAGGTGTCAAAACGTTGCTGTGGTAATCCACGGCAACACTCTAATTGGTCAGAAGTCATGAGACACTTCAGTGTGCTCCTCTGCACCCGGTGGAGGTCTCTCCTTCCAAGGCAGCCTAAATCGCCTACAAAGTTACCTCTGCCACTATACACGCACTACATGCACTTTACTCACACACACTCTGTGCATGTACTGTACACACACTCTGTATCCATTATAGACATACCCTGCATCCACTATACACACACACACACACACTGCATCCACTTTACTTATCCTTGTGAGCGGAGAGTCGGGTGTGGGCCCTATGGTTGGGCTCAGAAGTGGGCAGACTAAAGTGCAAGCATGAGCCCCAGGTGCCCAGGCTTTGAACTGTGTAAGGGGCCCCAACATTTCTGATGGCAGCCATGACAGGGAGTGCTACATTCATTTCGGGTTTCCCCTTTGTCGGAAATTTTTTGTCAATTTTGGACTTTTTAGTCCTTCAAATAAATTGTATGTAGCACTCATCTAGTTGTGTTCCCTTCATTTCTTTGTTTGTACTTATACATTTCTACTACAAAATTACTGCAATCCTCTATGGATTCTGATTAACTGGGAGCCATGATGTGAAGTGAACAAGCACCGTTTCATTGTAAATTGCTAGAGAGTCTGGTTAAAATCCAGCAGAGCAAAACACTAGAGCAATAGAATGTAGTTGTCAAGCCACCACAATAAGAGGTGGTGAGGCAGCAACATCTGTTGTTGCAGCTTTTGGCCATAGGGATATCTATTCTGTATTCTTTATCAACCATGAAATTAAGAGGTTTAGGATGTATGTTGGAAAGTTTCTGCGGCTGTAGCATAATAGTAGAGATAAAGGGGCACTGCAAATAGCATAACCACTACAGCTCAATATAGCTAATTACTCTCTCATCTCGTCCTACACAAAGGCAGTTCATTCTTATGGAGATGGTTTTCTATTGTGCATCATAAAGAAGAAAAAAGTTATTTCTTGTATTTCTTAAATCCAATAAAGTATTTTTTTTTAATGTTCTCTTGTGTATTTTTGTAAAGTAAGAGGCCAGGCACTCAACAAAATGAAGTTAAGAGCTTTTTTTAAAATGAAGGTCCAAAAGCTGTGAGTTTAATATCGTTGAGTGTCTGGACCTCTCTTGCTTTACTGGATCCTGTTACTAGTGGTAGGGTCGAACGCCAGGCCCGGGGCACGACGGTTTCACCTTTATTATTTACTTTGTATACTTCTTGGAATATAGTCCTCTTTTCTGGAAATCTCTTGTATATCTATATCACATCAACCTTATCATTGCAGACCTTGGAAAGCTACACGTACACTGATGATAAACCAAAAACAAACATGACAGTACCGTTGTGTGAGATAATACAAACAGACAATATTTACCATTTACCAAGGCACACTATGCACTTAAGGGGAAGGGGGAGGGAAGCAGCGCCTTAGAGGTGTCCTCCAGTCCAAGTCAGAATGGGCTGATATGTAGTGTAGAACTTTTGCGGTATTGGTGAGAAAAATAAAGAATGGCAAATACAATTTTTTGAAGCTGATAATTATTTCCAAATATGTGCACTTGGACGGTATAATTTACGTCTGTGGATTTACTCAATAGCTTGATCCAGTGAGAGGACTCCAGATGGTATAAAACAAGAACAGAAAACAACACCAATATAGTGTAATATATTAGTTCCTATAAATATGTGAATGTGCACTCTCAGTTTTTTGAGCCTATTAGTGGCTCACATTGATAGGCATTTATAGGAGTCCATGGGCTCCGTGGGTTCCCACTCTTTGATGCACTCCCGTATAGCAGCAACTTCTCACTAGAATGGTATATGGATAAAATAGAAATAAAAATATATAGTGCTTAAAGTTTACAATAAATAAAAGTTAAAAAAAAAAAACAGAGATGTACTCATTGGTGGAGATCAAAAGTGGTTTTGCTCAATCCATACCAAGGGTGGTATGTTCTCCAAAATGGAAATTGATGTAGTAATCTACTAGATAAAACTAGGAAGGTCCAATGTGGATAAAAACATGGATTTTATTGAAAATAATGTATAAAAGCATAAAAGGCGTTTCACCTAATCAACAGGCTTTCTCAAAGTGTTACAGTTCAGGGACCTTTCCTGTTTAAATAATGAAGTACACAGTGTGCACTTAAACAATCTCATCTAACTAGTATACTTGTATATAGCAATTATATTTGGTAATTCACATCAATTCATCCAAACAGTTTGTGGATTGACCAAATTTTGTCCATATAGCATTTTGGTTTCATGCTCCTACCAAGAATTACAGTTTACCTTTTCATCAGACCTACCTTATATATACAGTGCACATTCAGCTTGCCGATTAACTGTTGGATGTTGTAACCAGTCATTTAAAGTAGGGTATACACACATACACAAAGAAATGTTTCAGTATTTTATTTAAAAGTCAAAAGGAAAAAAAAACAATTACAAAAGAATGTTATAAGAAAAATAGCTTTTTTTCACAAATATTGATAAATTACAGTTATTTAAATATACAGACACATTAAGTGACAGATTTAGTAAACAAATAAAAGGTATACTACAAAAGCAATATTTACATTTTTTTTCTTCAAATTTTGGTCCCATTTTAAATCAGTCAATATGACCGAATGTTTCTAACTGCATCGTAGCAGCAAGATTTAAGTGTAACAATATTTTGTTTTCAGTGACCCACAGACATTTGACCATATTAACAATTCTGTACAGTAATGTGCTTTTTCTTTGTTTCCTGAAAAATTCAACATCTTCTCATGTAGACACAGTTGGCAACTGTGGTAAACGTTTAACAATTAATTATTTTAATTAAAAACATACTGTTAACAACTGATGTTTCATTATCTTGATTGTGTAGGTTTTTAATGATGTAGATCAATTAACTCTCCATTGGGAAAGTGCTACACTTGTCCTCAATCTCTCTCTATGTATTCTCAAGGCCGTTTTAGGACATTTAGATATCAATTAACAAAACTGCATATCATGTACCGAGAGGCAAGTCATCTTCCATACATTCTGTACAAAGAAGGATGACTACGTACCAGAGCTAATGATGCATTTTATGGCATTTAGATGATTTTTTTTTATAACCCAGCCCATGCATTATGCTATAATCCCACATTAAATCTCTTTGGCATCCTTTATTTTACATACACTCAGACTTGGGAAGCATTCTTCAACATTGAGTCTCAAATGTGGTACAATAACAGTTTTTGGACAACTTAGAAAACCACCATTCTTTGTCCAAAATACTACTTCATTTAGACATTCATTTTGAACTAACTACTGCATGAAAATAGAGACAAAATATTAGTTTGTAGCGTACAATAAAAAAATTGTCTTAATAATGAGCCTAAATAAAACTAGTAGCTTCAACCCACCAAATTATAGCCTACTCAACTCAGCTAAAGTTATTGCATACTAGTTTTCTACAGCAAAACAAAGGTGGGTGGCAGGTAAGTAGCCTCTCTGTTGAGTCTTGTCTCAAAAGGCTCCACTAATGAGCTTTGGTCCTGGCCTCTGTGGGAACTGGGTATAATGTAGCATTAAATGCTCTGCCATCAAGTATTTATGCTGTAGCCTTAAGTCCAAGAGGCCGAATTTTAATGGAAGTTGACTTCAGCGGGTAATATCTGCCCTTCCAAGTTTTCCAGAAGATTCCCTGTTTTCGTTCATGTCGTTGCCGAGGAATAGAGTGTAAATATTTGCCATTTAGGTTGGAATGACCACATGTGCTGAACCACCATCCTCCTAAAAAGAAAATGATAATGTTTAGTATAAACTACATATATGTAATTTTATGTCCTCAAACAATCCTACCATATCCAAAAATTTTATGTAGCAAGGAAATAGTTAAAAGTAAACAAATTAAAATGAGTTTCATACTAATTTTTTTTTAATGGAACTTTGGTTTGATGTTGTTTCAGTTATATAGATCTTACCAACATGAGTGGCCGTAAATCATTTAGATCTGGCATTATACACTGATTATTTTAGAAGCTTCAACATGTTTACCATTTGTATTATTATTATTATTTGTGAAAGAATATTCATACCTGAAAGATGTTTAGCACAGTTGATGTCAGACTTTAGATCCTGATCTCTGTCACGAGTGGTAAATGGTTGCTGTCGACCAACACTGAGTGCGTTCTCTAGTTCTCCGTTCACTTGCCCCACAATCTGGAGGGCATAGGCTGTGCTAGAACCTCCCAAACGAAATGGGGCTTCCATATATTTAGTATTTTGCTCCCAGTCTTCCAGCTCAATGTGTAAGAGATACTGACCCTGCTCACTTATTTGGTATATCTTCTCCAGTCCAAGCCAGAACTCACCTGCAAAATAAAACACTCACTTTCAAATTTATATCCGTGGGAGATACTATTGTAAAATTGTGTTTAATGCTCTAGTTTCCAGAGAAATGTAAAATAAAGTGTAGTAATTACCTAAAAACTCAAAGGTGAGCCATTAGGAAAATGCTACACTTTGCCTCTATCTCTCTATGTACTCTCAAGGCCATTTTAGGACATTTCGATATCTAAAAATTGCAATGTTTAAAATCATACAAAATTGAATCATATTTGTCTTAAATATTAACTGCTTTGCTTAAAGAAAGATAAGTAGAGATTGTAGCCATATTAGTCCAGTGATGATTTTAATCATTCAGGATTTGCTTATAACTTTGCTTATAGACATCTAAATGTTAACCAGACCTATTTTTTCCCAGTGGGTCTATTGGACCAAGCCTGCAGTTAAAGGAGATGGACCTAGTTCAGGAAAATCCTAAAACAGGTGCCAGCCATCTGGCTGACACCAGCAGGAGTTGGCCAAGAAACAAAAATAATACTATATCCCTTCTCTCTTGCATTGGTGGCATTGTAGGAGCAGGTCTAAGTGCCTGTTAAACATGGATCCATTGCGGCAAACAATCAGTGTGAAAGGGAATATAGAGTAAGGGGACAGGACTATTATGTTACGACTTTGCTACTTCAACCAAGGCTGTGTCACATACTTCCCATTAGAGGTGAAAATCCCTAAGTTCTCTGTTCTCTATTGGCATGGAGTTTGATGTTGTAATAGGTATAGTGTAGTGTATTTGTTTGAGAGAGTGAATGTGTTTGTGTATAAACAAACAAAATATTGAAGTTGGCAGGGGATAGGATTTGGTTAAATGTCACTGAAATGAGAATTAGGGGAAAATGTGCACGGAGATGATAAATGAAAACTGGCGGTATTAGAATGGAGGATATATAGAATTACAAGTATAAATTAGAAAAAAATCAATACTTGGAGCGTAAGGGGCTATATTCTACACAGTGGATTAAGTTATCTGAGAGAGGTTGAGTTTATCAGTTTGGGAATGTAATGGTTTTGGTGTACCCGCGGATGTAAAATTTCCCTTTTCCTGCACTTGTTAAAGTTTTGTGTGTTACATGTGCATTTTAAAGTTGTTTTTTCATAGGGAGACAACCACTTTGTCCTTGGATCCACATAGTACAATGTCTTGTCTCATCTGTTAGTCAAAAAACACATGCAAATGTAATTTGTTTTTGGAATGCAAAAATTGATTTATAAATCATATGTTTATGTTTAAATATAACTATGATCTGGCAATAAAGTTAATATATACATTCTCACCATTAAGTGTTCCAAATCCATTCTTGTAAGTTTCCCAGAGCTGATCAAAATCAACCGAACCATCCTTGCGCCTCTGTATAACCGTCCATCCTCCATCTAATAAAAGACAGACATGTTTAATCTTTAATTGAAAGAAAAAGTTCAGGATTTGCCAATTTTCTCACATGAGCATATTCATAATAATATATTAGTATACATATAAATGTGATCAATGCTAGAACAAACTGTTTTTTTAAAGTGATTTTTAAATCACTTAAGAGTTTGTACTGAACTTACCAGCAGTCATTTCACAAAAGACTTCAAAAGGCTGTGCCTTCAGTGGCTGAATTGTGAAGATTCCACTGGACCTTTCGCCTTTCAGGAAGATCTGATGACAATCAGAAGGTAGACCTGGAAACAGACAAGGGTCTCTTATTAGACATTTATCTTGTCAAACCAAAAAGTAAGTTAAGGTGTTATGAGAATAGCAATTAAAACATTCAACATTAGTCATTTTTTTTAGATTTCTGGATGTCTCCAAAAGTATCTGCTTAGTTGCCATTTTGAGGTTCTTTCAGAAGATTTTTTGTTGGCTAAAATTTAGTATTGGTCAGTTACGACTTAAAAATGCAGATCTAAACTTCAAATAAATTCAGTGCCAGCCAGATTTGTATGAATGACTTTGCCAAGGAAATCAGATTGCATTCTTCAATGCTTTTAGCATTTTATACTGGACACCAGGGGCTACTGCATAAGATGAACTTCTAAATTGTGCTGGAGATAATTCAGGGGTACTACATATTGTATACTTTTTAGGCTAAGTATGGATTAGTGCCAGCTATTTCTAAACATTGAAAAAAGGAAAGTTGTTGTTTTACAAATTTTACTGTACACGTAAGCATATTATCAATATCCACACCTCTAAAGAATGCTGTTTCATTGGATACTTCCAGGTCTATTCCCAACTTTAATTAGTTACAAGACATTCCACCTTCCCACCTTTGATCCCTGTACTTTGAAATGCCAACACAACACAGTTTCTGTATAGTGACTAAAGTCCATTTTTGTTTGTACATTCAAGGCCAGTTTCACATATAGCCCAAAGTCATTGCTAACCTAAACAAAGAATTCAAAGTCCATTATATATTTCTATGTTATGTTCATTTTGGATTGCCTTTAGTTACTTAAAGGAAAGGGAATTCTACATTTAATGAGCATATGTCTTCAGAAATTACATGGTTATATGAAGAAATTATATACGTAGTGTTTCAACATAAAGCTCAATGTTTCAACATAAAGGGTTACCCATGTCTGTTTTGTTTAACTCGTCCGTGTGCTTAGGGCTCAGATTTCTAAGAGCTCGGTGTGTTTTTCATACTGTGAAGTTGTAAATATGAACTCTCACCCAAATCCCAAGGCTACCACCCTGTTCTTGCCCAGATGAGGAATGTCTGACTTGTGTTTACATTCTGAGAGTAGCTTGTAATCAAAATGAAACATGGTGTAAACCCCTTAAGGACAGAGCTTCAGAAGCTTGTCTTTCACTTAATGACAACAGCATTTTTTTCATTTTTTGCTGTTTGCGTTCAACTGCAATTTGCATTTTACTAATTTATTGCACCGACACATATTATATACCGTTTTTTTAAAGGACAGAAAGGGCTTTAATTTGATGTAACACACACACACACATATATATATATATATATATATATATGCTTATTTATTATAAAGAAAATACAGAAAAATGCAAAGAAAAATAAAATTTTGTGTTTTTTTTTTACAGTTTTTGCAATAATAATGTGTGCATAATTAGTGCAGGTTAAGGAAAGTAATTAAAAATAAATTCATTTAGTTGTTCTGATTTACAGAATATATAATGTGTCTGGGATTTTAAGTTTTTTTTTGGTAGTTACAGGTCACAAAGCACAAGGAGTAAAATAAACTTTTAATGTGGAGCGATTTTAGAATTTGGTATGTTTGTCTTGTAAGCTTAATAGCCATAAAAGAAAACAAAATTGCCCCACAAAAGTATATATTTATATAAAGTAGACATCACAGGCTGTTTACCTAAGGTGGTTTTGACACTTTCTACGTAGCCATTTCACCGCCAACCTCTGCTAAATATTGGAGTAAAATTGTGTTTTTTTTGGTTTTTGGCACACAAACCTATAACAAAGATTATCATGTGTATTTTGTAAAGTTGGTGTGTGCTATTCCTGTACAAAGTTTTACTTTGTGTTCAGTTACATCTTCTGAGTAAAATGACACCCCCATTGTATGTCTTTGGCACTATTTCGTGAAGTTACAGTGGCAGAGGCACTGCCACTGTAACCTCGAATACAGAGGCAGACCGGAGCACCATTAACCCCGCGATCGCTGCGATAGCGGCGATCCGGGGTTAATTTTAACCGGTGACGGACGAGGTCCGTCACTCATCGTTATGGCAATCCCCTGAGTGACAGACCTCGTCCGTCACTCGTCGTTAAGGGCTTAAAGACCAAGAAAAAGAAGATTAACTTTAACTCTGTGCAGTGTAAACGGTCACTGACATATATTTTAAATACTATTTAAAGGGATACTATAGGCACCCAGACAACATTATGTCAGTGAAATGGTCTTGGAACGATATCCCTCTTGTTTTTTACCCCTCTATTCTGCAGGAACCTCAATGTTTACATTACATGGTTTAAATGCCTCTTAAATGCATGACTTCCATGAGAGACACTTCTGCAGAAATTGCCATGTAAAGGTTGGCTATTTAAAATAGATGGTCTCATAGAGACCATCTGATTGGCGCAACGGGTGTTTTGCCATGCATGTGCTGTAGCCTCCCAATGCTTTCCTACGGGAAATCGTTTGATTGGCTGAGATCATCAAAATAGATTATCTCGGTCAAGAAGGTGGGGCTAGCTGCAGAGAGAGCAGCGTGGTTTCTGAAAAAAAGGTAATTAGTACTATTTTAACCCTTATGGGAGGGGGGAGGTCACCTAAATAGTGACTAGGATACTATAGAATTAACAAAACTGGTGCTATTCTGGAGCAAGAATAAGTAGCAATCACTATTGAAATCAATCAAATGTCTCATATTTAGCTCCAAAATAGCACCTGTTTTGCCTTGATAGATTACCAATGTTGTCTGGTATGTGTCTACTACATTTGCAATTTGCCAAATATGTCGGCATGTGTGAATTTTGTACGATTTAAATTTATTACATGAATTAGCTTGTTTGGTGTGCATTTATAAATATGTATTACATATTGTTGTATGTTATTATTATTTTATTATTTATATAGCGCCATCAGATTCCGTAGCGCTGTACAAAGTTATACACCCACTGTACAGTGCTACGGAATGTGATGGCGCTATATAAATAATAAAATAATAATAATACACACAGAATATTTTATGAAAAAATCAGTCATGCTACGTTTCAGACATTGATCTGAAATGTGTTCAATGAAGTTTAAGTCACAAATATATATATATATTATGTAGATGTTATATATATTATGTAGATTGCAAAATGTATCTTAACACTTTGTATAATTCTTTGTATTTCTAAGCGTTATATTTTCTAAACTGTTGTTACATTAAAAAAATATGAATGTCTTTATCGGAGTATTGAGAGTATTGTTCTAGTATTTGACAAGGTCTTCACTTGTAATGTGTGAATGGTATGTGTGACACATGCAGAAATATTGCATCAGCAAGTGAAAACTAGGGGAAAGGTTACACAGGGAATTCTGAGACCAGGAAGAACAGGGGGATAATAAGCTCATTCAGTCCTCCCTCTGTACACCCACACAGCAATGTGAACTTTTACCTAGTTTAAAAAAAATCCACAAAGAGCAAAACTATTTTTTGCTGTAACATGAGGTCATTCCATTCTCAGAACTTTTGCATTATTAATTCCAACTGAGGATTATGTATGTTGTACAGTAATTCAGGGGCAAAGTAAATCATTAAATAATGATAATAAAAAAAAATCAGAAAGTCAGTGACACTTTTCATTTAAAGGGTTACTCCATCCACCATGACCACTTTTGTTTCTAGAAGTGGTCATGGTGGTAGGAGTCAGTTTTTACAGTGTTTCAGCTTGAAACGCTGCACATACTGTGATATTGTCAATTGTGCACCGGGGACTAGTTGCACCCCCCGCACTCGTGATTTTGACAGCCCGAAAAATCAGTTCAAGACTTCGATATGTCAATTATCTGCATAAAATACATCAGTGGTCAGCGCGCACTGCACACTGACAACGTATATATTGGGCTTCTCTTCCCTCCCATTTTTTGTGCAGACGCCTCAAAATTAGTGCAGTTTTTTTCTCCAACCCTTGACAGTTCAGAGTGTAAGCATGCGCTCTGAGCCGGTTAAATGGTCCAATCAAAGGCTTTTATTTTATTTTTTTAGTTATAGGGAGTAGGGACCTATAGAATACAGCCCAATAGGTAATTATTCATTTTAAAAAACCCATAAATATTAAAAAGGATTGGAGTAATCCTTTAATCATTACATTAACAAGTAATTGATAGCAAAATTCCTCAGGTACTGTCAAAGTATTTACTCCTTAGCTAATTATAGAAACAGCGATTTAGACGGATCTATAAAATCTGAAATATATAACATAATCCCTATATCTCAGGTACTGTCAAATGGTTAATCCTTAGCTAATTATAGAAGTGGTGATTTAGTCAGATATATAAAATCTGACATATATCAAATAATCCCTATAGCTCCTTGCAATAGATATGGTGCCACCATGCTCCTGGCACTGTCCGTGTTTGGACACAAACAGATGGTCCTCTAGGCGCTTGGTGTATTACTGATACAGTAATAACACCCAAAATTATTGGGGTAAAAATGAACCAAGTTCAATTGTACAATAAAAAAAATTAAATTTTTAAAGAAGTTATGTTGCTGCCTATGTCAATAACTAGAAACAAGAGGAATGTAATATGAATGGGGTATGCGAGCAAACAAATTATGTGTGTGCTTGCTATTAGAAACACGAATGTCTAACATCTTTCTATAATCCTGCAAAGATGAACTTTCGCACAGTTGGAACCCGTCCAAACGTTTCCAGCAAGAAGGCTGAGACTCTCCATCCTCTGAAGGTGATTAAACCACTGATACATGAAACTTCAACTTTCACACACTTGGCTCCGTGACAAGACTGGCTTTTGTAACTTCCTTACAATGAAAACAGCAGGGTCTTTGTACAGTATTTAAACTGTACTGTTAAGGACAAGGAAAGGGCAATATTGAGGATGTGGGGAATCTGCCTAGTCAGAAGGTAATACGAAAAACAGAGGTTTCTATGAAGTACATCAGCATTAATGGAGTTAGGGACCCTGAAGACACAAGTGGGTAATATCGTACTGCTTTATATATTACGGAATCAAAGGTTTATTCCAAGCACCATGACCACTTCAGTCATTTAAAGTGGTTATGGTGGCTGGACAGCATTTCGACTTGAAAAGCTGCACAAATAGAATTGAACCCCTTAGCTTCTAGGGATGTAACAGCACCCCCAGCGCCCGCGCCATGAAGGCGTCATTAGCCAGCCCAGCTCTGATCCTGGTTGGGTAATGTAAAATCTGTGCATTTTTTTTTTCTGCACAATGTGTCATTCATTAACTGAGAGCGGTCAGCTGACACTCTCAGACAATGAATGGCAAATGAATTGGGTTCTGCAGCTCAGCAGAAGTCGGAAGAACATCAGTAGTGAAGCTAGGAACCTCAGATCCTATGCAAGGACCCAGTAAGAGGGCAAACTATTGTGACCCACATGAATGTTAGTGTCTCTTTAAGTTATTGGTGCATGCTGGTCAGTGCTTTATCTCCACTGATACCATTCCTGGTCACTATTTATGAAACACCGTGGTTTTAAACTTGGCTGATACTTTATATCTTTTGAGGCACATATCAGCATTATCGTGTTAAGCATGATATTACTGTTAGGGTATTTCAGTTGTAAAAACTGAATGATATTTCCAAGCACTGGTTATAATCCTTAAAACATACTCTACAGAACATGTGGAGATCATATTTACGTCCATGCATGCTATTCATTCACTTTCTGCTTGTCATGAAGAATTATGAGACGGAGCAAGAAACTGACAGAGGAAATACTACAGACATAACTTCCTTTAATGCTTGTGTTACAGTAGACATCATATTAAAGACTTTTGTAAAAGTGTTGAAAGGAATAAAGGAAAGTGACAGATCTCAAATGTCATGTTAGTCTGTTTTAAGAGGAAAAGAAGCACCCTTGCTTTGTGCAGTAAATCAACTTCTTCTGGTTCTAAACAAACAACTCTTTGTGTTAAGTATGTGGAATATATCTATCTATCTATATATATATAGCTGAATACTAACCAGTTGCAGAATATTAACCTCCTTTGCAACATGTGTTTAGTTTTATTGCATTGCACACAATGCAAAACATATTTCGCTATATAAAGCCCACTTATTTGCCCATTTAAACCAGTGCTCTTTAGAGCAGGGGTGCCCAATAGGTACATCCACAGATATTTTAAAACTACAGCTTCCGTGATGCTTTGTCATTCTAAAGGCATTTTAAAAGCATGCAAGGCATCATGGGAGTTGTAGTTCTACAACATCTGGGGATCTACCTATTGGGCACCCTTGCTCTAATGGGCACTGCTTTAAATGGGCAAATAAGTGAGCTTTATATAGCGAATTATGACTTGCATTGCATGCAATGTAATGAAACTAAACCTATGTTGCAGAGGATGTTAATAGTCTGCAACTGGTTAGTTATATTGTGGGACATATTCAGGAAATTGAATTCCTATAAATTTGACATACCGTATTTTTTTGAAATATAAGAAGCACACCTATATTTTAACTAGACATTTTGAAGAACAGAATAAAACAACCAGTGTCCTAATTACAGTTAGAGGTAAGAGAGGTGAGCGATATATATATTTAAGATTTATCTTGAACCGAGGAGAGTGGACATGACGATCCCTAGCTTGCACATCAGACAGGTGCAGACTTATCATGCTGTTCTCACAAGCCCTGGTAATATACTGAGATGCTCTAAATGGCTGGGGCTCACATGAGGAATACTCTGTCTGTACCTGTTGTTGGTGCAGACTAGACTCTCCCGGGCTTCACCTTCTTTAACAGAAGCCTATATATATAATACCATATAGTATATATATATCCGTTGGAGTTTAGGATACAGGAAGTTTTTTACCTTAATTTTGGGGTAAATATACAGTGTCCCATAGTCTAAAAAATGCGGTAGTTTTATATATTTATTTTATAGGTACATGATGTACATGAAATTGCTGTTTTGTGCCAGGTTCATGAGCAAGGTTATAAAAATGCACAACACTCTTGGATTACTTGGGGTACTTACTTTCTGAATCAGTCTCTGCACTGCTGTTACTCTGTAATTCAGTTGAAATATCATCTAGATTAAGTTTTGATTTGTAAGTCTCAATTTTGTCACTCTGAATCTGTAACGAAAAAAAAAACGCCACTTATTAGACTTACGCCGTTCACGTCTAATTGCTATTATTACAGTTCTTTTCAATTAGCCTCCAAACACTTTTGTGTGATGGTAGTTTGCTGTTTTCAAAGCGTAAGCGGACAGGGGTGGAGGGATATAAAATGGACTGGGAAACAGACTCCAAGTCAGTAAACTGATCAACAGAAATTACATTAATAATAGACTCCAATTTCCATATTTATTGTCTTGCCTTGTTTAAATAAATAATTAAGGCACTAACTGTATTTATATATTAGTTATATTAGCTGTATGTTCCATACATTAATAGCAGAAACGCCATGCTTGGTTTTTACATTGACGTATTTAGCATTGTAAAAGTTCAAGAAAACAAGTCATAATGACTAATTGGAAGTGCCCTTACTAGTTATAGAATGTCAGTGTATTATATTATACAATAATGTATAGTGCATAATCACAAAGAAAGACACACATTGTATGATATTTGAATTGTGAAGTCTGTGATTGGACACCTACAGTCTGGGCTCGGGAAAGGGGAGGGGGTGGGCTTGCAAAGGCTGCAGACAAGATATCTGCAGCTTTTTCAAAAAAAAATTTTATTTGTATATACCCCAAATGAAAAAAATGCATAATTAAATGCATATACATTTTCATTTGGGGTATATGCTCTGACTAGTATTTATTTCTGTGTTTGGGCAGTGTCCCTTTAAACCTTGCATAATATTATTAGTATTATTTTTTTATTATTATTATTTATATAGCGCCAGCAAATTCTGTAGCGCTGTACAATAGATATATCACTCTACCCATGGTCACTGCATGGCAAGTAGCCCTTCCTGACAGCACTCTAAATACTATTTGGATACACATGTCATATGTCACATAGCATTTTTCACAGATTCACTGATACACTTACCTTGGTTTGTAAGTTTTTAATTTGTTGGTTCTGTTTGTCCAGTTTGACTTGTTGCAATTTAATCTTATCCAGTAGCTCATTTATCCTCTGGTTCTGGGTTTCCATTAATGTCTGAAAGAAATCGGAGCATGGCACAATTATATAAGCAAAGTAATTATGAAAATGATATTTAATCCCTTAGTCCACTTTGTAACAAAGTCATTTAGACCATACAGTAATACATATCTAGATATTTTTCTCTCCCTGTTACGTATGCAATGGAAAAAGAACAATAAATAGCTGCTATTTTATATCTAGCAACAGGCATTAAATGACAATATCATACTTTGTGTGGTTGTGTGAAGATCTGGGTTTACATCTGGTAGGGTTATTTACCAAAGTATGAATTCAAAGTTCATTTCAATTTTAAGGTCAAAATAGCCGAAATATAAAAACTATGCTTTCAGTTTGGTCACTTTGAATTTTCACTTTGGTAAATATCTCTGTTGGTGTCTGTTTTACTTCCATTGGAAGCTCTGTTTTCAAGTTACCATAACTGTTTTCAGACAGCTTAAACAGATGTTCTTAACCCCCAGGTCACTGCCCAAAATGGTGGCCCCATGCTGTTTTAGTGGGTCAGCACCGGTTGGAACAGGCAAATCGTTAGAAAACATTTATTAATTAGAGATAAAAGCAATCAGGACTCATTAGGCAATTCAGTCCTGACCAAGTTTACGGTCAATAATTCTAATTTAGATGGGGTTTTTAAAAAAAAAGATCTGGTCTAGATCAGTTTGCAGGCAGTAAATTATGAAGAATCGTAAATCTACTGAAATAATTCCATAAGTTATCTTCAAAAAAGAACCAACGTCACCAAATGCTTTTCCTCAAATTCACCTTGACAAATTCAGAGCTTGGTAAATACCCTGAAGATGTTTAATCGTGTAATAGTGAATTGAATCTGAAAAGTGAATGCAAAAAGGCCAGTTGAGAATATAGCAGGGAAAAAAAAAAAAACTTGTTCAATTTGCAAAAATTCCCTTTCGTTTAAAAAAAAAAAAAAACACTAAGGAAAACACCACTGGAGCTCACGTATGTTTCTAATAAAAGGTTTATTAAAGCCAGGGCAATAAGCAGAATCCTATTTTTAGATGTATATAAAATAGATGTCTAGGTTTTTGCAGACGTCTGCACTCATATCGAAGGGTACCGAACGGAAAATCAATTCACAGAGAACAATATTGAAAGACTAGTGACTAATGAAACATCTCAAGTTTCTTACACTTGCTTCTCCCCACATCCAGTGTAATTCAATAGTCATTACGTCACAGCACCGTACATGCAGTACGTGCAGAACGGGGGATGCTGTGTACCATCTCCAGGTTTCAATTACAATTTAGACTGCACTTTAGCAAGTAGTTCCACTTTTATTCTGCTTAACCCCTTAAAGTTACAGCTTCAGAAGTAAAATGCCTGCATGACGGAAAATCACTGTCATGTGTAATTAAAGCGTTAAAGTAACAGCTGCAAATACCCTGTATTAGGGACTGCATGTATGAAATGCATACTCAGGGATGATATTCAATACTCTTTGCAAAATATGCACCGGATACATATTTTGTTGTGTATGATATTCTTTGGTAGTTTGTCAGTGTATTGGGCAATGAGTTTATGGATTTGTTTCTATTTAATTGATTTGTGCTTTACTACATTTGTGAATATGATTGTGCTACTAACTATGTCCTTGCGATTCTGTAGTTTTAAAAATCCAGCGCAGAGAGAATTCTGTAAATATGAAGAATTGGTAAGGTGTAATTATTGGGTTGGAGATGTAAGGGTTAAGTACAGTGGTCAATATTACAGTATTTACTTGTTTTGCACACAACGCTGGAACTAGGAGCAAGTTGCTGTGTTAAAGGGCAGTAAACAAACCAGTTCCTGCTCTTTGGAATTGCCAAATTTTCATAACCCACTAGCGGAGATCACTCTGGACTTTGTTTCACAGTGTGTGAGTAGAAAATAACGCAAATTGTGAAGGGGGGTGGGGAGGTTGTTGATGCATATATATTATCACTGCTTCAAAGTCAAAGATGTACAGTCTCAGGATCAAACTTTGTATAATTTTTAGGTTTATACAAATACTTTAAATACCAGCGATGCTATTTGCATATTTGATACATAGCCCATTTCAAATAAAATAAATATAAATTTTAAAATAAATAATAAATATCTATTAGAAAAGTTTTGAGATGGTTGGATTGATATAAATGGCACTGGCAGCTCGTGTGCCCTATTTAAAGGAACAAGTTATTGTTTAATTTCTGTGAACTCTTTAGGACTAATTAATTTTTATTGCAAAGAATATTGGGTTGAGACTCACTTAAGGTACCATGCAATTCACAAGGTCGTCTACTAACTCTGACTATGGCTAACAGTGATCTGCATCTAATGACCTACACCAGCCTTTGGCACTCTCCAAAGACAGAGAGATGTAGGTCAATTTAGGTAGGTCGGTAGGTGTTATATATTAAATAATGGGTCCATGGTACCATTTTAGGATACTATCAACTCATTTACTGTCAAGGTCTGTGTGACGGAAGCTCCTGTACCACAGACTTTTGGAGAGACTTGAAAGCCAGCTTACTGCGCGCAGACTATGTGGGGCCACTGTCACTGTGGGGAGGACTACGAGGGTACAGAATGCTTACAGTGCTTCTAAGCCAGATTTGAGGACTTGATAGAGCACGGTTTGGAAGGGAGGTTCAGGGAGGCAAGGTAGCATCAGAGAATACCTGGGTCTTAGGAATGTACCCCTACCCTGAGGTCCAGGAACTCCTTTTTGGAGACCAGAACAAAGCTGACATTTGTTTTGTTAATTATGGATACGATCCACTGTTTAATCTAAGCTGCTAAATCAATAGCAAATATATATATATAGACCAAGTTTTCGTTTGCTGCTGCCATAGGGAAGCACATAGCTACTGCATCGCCTAATGTAATCCTTTACATTATAGTTGTCATATTAGCCATAGCTTCCTGGATTTATCATGTTGACTTTCAGCACATGAAAATACTACCCTGTAGTACATAGAATTGATATGCTCCAGGATTCCTGACTGATCTATCACCTTATTTACTGCCTGCAGCATTTGACCTCTAAATACTACATGTCTGCACTTGCACATATTGCCCATCAATGCATATAATTGATATGTGTCCTGGAACAAAATGGTGGGTGTGTCTCCCCCATTTCAAGCACCTCATGAGTGATGTCTCTGCACATTGTATGTGCCATGCCCAGTCAGGCACTAGCTAGGAACACACATGCAAGTGAATAAATACAGGATTATTTACCAAGATGAGAATTCAAAGTGAATCTCACATTTAAGGTCAATAAAGACAAACTGGACAAATTCTCAACTTCAGCCTTAAATTTGAAATTCACTTCGAATTCTCACTTCAGTAAATAACTCTGATAATGTGTATTTATTAAAATCCCTATGTGGAGCATCTCCACAGATTGCTGGAAATACCAAAATTTGCCTGATAGCTCCTACTATTTTGTTTATTTATTTTTTCATCTGGTATGTGCATTGAGTCTGTACTTGCAGGTAGATGCCTAATATCAGTCCTTGCAAAGAATGCTACTATTCCCCCTGGAATTCGAATGTTTGATATCACACAGCCATCCCTCACCCCATACCTGGATATTAAGGTACTCCTTATCACTGCGGTTCTGCCTCCTGACAGGTTCCATAACCTTGATCTTGTCCTCAATGTTCTGCATCCTCTGGTCCAGCTGTTGTCTCCCGCTGCTGATCTCCTGCACCGTCTCCCTCAGTCCCTGGGACAAGTCATTGAGTTGCTTGTCCTTGTCTTCTAACTCCTGGACCCTGAGTTTCATCGCCTCTCCGCTCTCTCTGATCTCTTTAGCTTGCTTCAGGAGGTCCATCAAGGAAACGTTTTGCTGGTTCATCTTTCCCGAGATCTCCTTCAGCTGGTTCTTTGTCTTGTCCACATGTTCCTTGAGACCGTGTCCTAGCTGGAGCAAGCCGTGGGCTATCACGTTCACTTCATCCCAGGAGGCATACTGGACCTTCTTCTCTGATGAGATTCCCCAGCCCTCAGCTCCTAATACAGACCCGCACAGCACTAGAATTACAATCACAAGCTCCATTGTTATCAGCTAGCTCACTCACTCACTCCTCTCCTGTAAATATAGCAGAATTTGTTTAGCAGGTCGATTGCCCTGAGTATATATAGTACTGACCCCTCCTCCAGGTCCTCCCAAAATCTGCTCTTCTAGTGACACAAGAGAGTTAACCACACCTCACTACTACTGTGCCTAGACAAGAGGTGTTTCCTGTGAACTGAAAGACTTTCAGCCTGCAGATCTGTGAGAGGATGGATAGACCGACAGACAGACAGAAAGAAAAAAAATTGTGATTTAAGGAAGGAAAGAAAGGAAAATAAAATGGTTGTAAAGTTGGTTATATCTCGAAATAATTACAATCCAAGTCTTACAGTTATGTTAAGAAATCTAAAAAACAAGAATTATGGCTCTAGCTGTCTGTAATATAAATATATTTGTACACATAGACACTGCTAGCAATGAAGATGAATAATATGTAAGAATACAAAAACTGCAGACTAAAATGTTTTCAGAGAATTAACACTTTCATGACATGTATTTTGTACCTTAAGGGCATCTGTTGAGCATTTTTAATTCTTACCACACGCATATATTGTACAGCTCAATAATGAAAGGGTTAAATATTTGTTTAATGGAGTTTGGGCACAATGGGTGGATCAGTGCAATGTTTCTAAAACCCTATACCTGGCCATAACACGGAGAAAATAAAAAGTCTTGCATTTTCGAAAATAAGCAGAATTCACAATAAGTCAGGGGCTTATTCACTAAACTGTGAATATTTTGGGGAATTTAAACAGGGAATTCCCTATTTCGCGCGAAAAAAATTAAGATGGAAACAGTTGAGTTGGAAATGTTTTTGCAATTCTGCCGTTTTGGTCAAAACTTAAAAAAAATTTGAGGTTTCCTAGGTAAAGTAATTAACCTACTGATATTGCACATCTCTAAAGATGCAGATGGGACGTGCAAAAAAACACAGACATCCCAAAAGCTAGCTCTACCCAGAGCTGTCACGAGATATGAGTCACACAACACTCTCTATTATAAGACTAGCATTGAGTCGCTAGTAATGAATTACTTAATGCTGAAAAAGTCATGGTCATAAACAACGTAAAAGTAAAAACATTTTAGGATGTCCTGTGCATCTTCGCAGTCAACTATTTCTAAACTTGGTGTATGGTAAATACATAGATATTGAGAGGACATCAGCCTATATTAATATTTTTTAAATTTCTTATTTCAATTATTTTTTTCTGTTTGGCTTTTTGACAAGGTTTTCATTCTCTCTACACTTTACATCAACATTTTAGAATTATGTGGATTAAATGACGGCATTATAATTATTATTATTTACTTATTTATTTTTCTGCTTTTATTCATGCTATAATAATAGACATAGAAACCCCACGGTACCTTTCAAGCAATGCGCAATGAGCTTTTGTTGAAATTTATGCAGGATTAGCTTACAATGGTTTTATCCCCAAATCAGACGGGAGAGGTTTCTGTGTTAAAGGTAATCTGGATCAGTTTAAATCTGGCATTCAAAAATCCATCTCAAAGCTAAGCACATATTTTGGGCAATTGTAAACAAGAGAATTATGTGATCGTTACATTTAACCCACAGTTCAACAATGCCTTGATTAAAGGGACAATCAAGTACCATAACCACTATTGCCTCCATTAACTCTCCTGAGGGCAAATTCAATGATCAGTTGATGCTCTCAGCCAATGAGCTAAGCCCTTATCCGTATCTCAGGTATAGAGTATCTGGCTCTTAATGTGGCAAAGAGCTGTGCGCGGCAGACCCAAAGTAAGACTGCTGCTCAAAGGTACTCGTGGCACCATAAACAATACAGCTTGTGGCAATAAATTCACCATTTACAATATTGTAATGATAAGTGGAGAAGTTTTTACACTTAAATGTATTAATGGAGGTGTAGGGTCCTATAGGATGGTGTAGCCTGGGCCTCTCTACATCTCTTATTTTGACCACTTAAAGAGAGCATAACAGAGTCACTAGCGAGACTTCAAGAGCATCTCAGCAAATGCACAGGTAAACAATTTTTCGCTTTAATAAATTAAAAGAATTAGTGGACAGTCATGTAGGTATCAATCATGGGCTACATAGAAAAGTAAAATATAACATTGGTTTTGGATCTTTGAAGTCCAAACCAAGCAACATTGAAGTCTTAGTTCTGGTTGGGACCTCAGCCAACAATTCAGACATTAGTTGGCTACCGTCTAATTAAAGAAAACTTTGTTCATTACCTTAGTACTTTTGGAATTTTTAAGCTTACTTTGTTTTAATTATATATTTACTGGGTTACCTTAATTTCTTAATGAATTAAGTACCTGTATGATTACGGTCAGTCTGCATATGATAGCCTTGTACATTGCAGAATCAATCAAGTTGGTGGCAGAAGTGTTGTGGCTTACTTCCGTTACAGTCCGCACTTTGATATGTCTTCTGTGTAGGGACGCTTTTCTAAACTTCCAAATAGACACATGGGAGGGCATGGGTGCATAGTCACAATGTTTTGGGCCACCACTGCTAAGTAAAGTCAGACATCTCACAGCTCAGTTCCACTGGGAGCCATGACGCTTCAAGCATCTTAGCACTGAATATAGAGAAACCAGTTTTCTGTATACATTGCTGTGTTACAGATCATCCTAGTCACAGTGCTTCTTCCCTGAGTGAGGGGATCAGTATGTGCCCAGACGTAACACCGAGAGATGCCCTGTCTGTGTGAGTAGGATGATGTCCAGCATAGTGCTGTATACCAAGAGAAGATCTCTATGTATTCAGTGTTCATGGATCTACACACAGTGGTATACACACAAGCTGGTGGGCGTCTGTAACAGGAGAGTGGGGTAAAAATGTTTCTGTGTGTGTCTGTGTGTTTTTGTTTATGTGTGAGCAAGTATAGATGTGAGGGTAATAAAGGCTATGTCGTGTTTTTGTGGTAACATATATACAATATACACATATGCTGTATGTACATATATATACAGGCCTGGTCTGGCCATCAAGGAAACCAGGGAAATGTCCATTGGATAAGATGGTCATTGGCCAAGACTGACAAGGGAGATCAAAGCGGCCACCTTGATGTGTGCCTTCAATGTCAAAGATCTCCCTCACTGGAACACTGACACTTTACTGCAAGAGGGGAGATGGAATGAGGACCCAAGAGACTTTAGTCTACACCCTGGTGCTGAATATTCCTCTTGTGAGTTTGGAGCGTTGCTATAGGTTACCACAGCAAAGCTCCATTATAGCACAATGCCGGATTTCGCAAGAGGAGTGAACTTGGCATGCACCCAGAGGAGCTGTAGGTTAGACACCAAAAACAATAAGCTCTTCACTCATGTTCAGCCCTATGAGCCAGCCATCAACTACAGAGGTGCTATATGTAAGCATACAGAAAAAAAGTCACAGGCTACACTCTGTGATAATGATGCATGGTTAAGGCTCTGGGGAGCAGAAACGTTGCTTGTTCTGTCGGGTGACTTACCTTCAAATAAATCTACACCATCATTATCACAAAGTGTAGCCTGTGTCTTTTGTTTTTTTCTGGAGCTGTAGGTTAGAGTCACTCACTACCACTGGACAACCAGGGTTATATATATATATGCTCCCTTTTCATTGCCATCACACACAATATAGGCCCTATACCACCCAACACATTCACACATTGCACCTTTATGCACACTGCACCCCAACACACACACTAGATCCTCTTACCATATCCCTTATACACACACTGCAACATCTACACATTCACTTCATTCCAGACACACATACTATGTTCTTTATACACACTCCGGGTCCCCTAAACACACACTAGATTCCCTATACACACTCTGGTTCCTCTACACGCCCTAGATCCCCTTTGAACACACTGTGCCACCTACACACACTAGGTCCCCTATGCACACTCTGGATCCCCTACACACACTAGATCTCCTAGAGACACACACTGCACTACCTACACACACTACATTCCTGACATACACACTGCATCCACTAAACACACTTTGAATCTCCTATGCACACACACGATCCACTGTACGCAAACACACATACTACATTCCCTACACACAAACTCCCTATAATCCCTACACACACTACATCACCTATACACAGAGCCGGCGGTACGATTTTTCTGACTGGGGCCTTGGCCCATGTGGCATTTTAAGGTGGGCGGCAATTAGCTGCTATCACTGTGTCTGGACCTGTTACCTTTTTTCCAGGTAGTGTGTGGCTCCATAAGGGAACCACACGCACCATAAATTAGCATAGGAAGGCCTCCCCCTCCTGCTTTGTGTAGGAGTGCCGAGTGTCACTTTAAGTCTGAAATAGCACGCTGGACATTGAGAGCCCCCCTTCCCTGCAATGACAGGTAAAACAGGAAGGAGGGGTGCACCAATTTGTGTGTGAGCAGAGCTGGCACTAGCTTTGCCTAGGCTGAATGCTGCTTGGGAAGGAGAGGGGACATGAATGCAAGGGGGAAGAAGAGACATGTATGGAAGGGGGGAAGACGAGACATGGATGGAATGGGGGAAGAAGAGACATGGGTGGAAGGGGGGAAGAAGAGACATGGAAGGAGGGAGAAGTGAGTCATGAAAGGCGGCAGGCTGAGAAGCATTGAAGTGTACTGTAGTCTGGTGCATTGGGAGCAATATCTAGTGCTGTAGGAAAGGCTGTGAGGACTATCTGTTGCAGTAGAAAGGGGCAGTAAGAGTTAAAAGATGCATGGTATGAAGAGGAGCAGAGATGGTGGAGTGAGCAAGGTAAGGAAAACAGGTGAAAATGTATGTGTACATATAAAATGACCGGGCACGGGGTCAGCAAAATATACCTTTACCTAGGGTGGCAAAAAGTCTTGCACTGGTCCTGTCTGTGAATGTGTGAGTGAATGTATCTGTGTGTATGTGTAACAGCGTCAATGTGCTTGTGTGTGTGTGTGCATAACTGGGTTGGGCAGCATTTAAGTTTTGGGCCGACCTTGCCTATGCACGCATACACTACAGCCCATATGCACATACTCATTATATTGCCTATACTCTGTGTGCCTCCTGTACACAGCCACTAC